CTTAAGTCACAGAACATGGAGAAAACATACTCAGACTAACATGAGAGTTTCATCCCTACTAGCCAGCTTTTCATAAGGCTGGGATTGGAGGATTGCCTGCTACTGTAGTCCTGCCCAAGTGTGATCCATGTGTAATACAGTAATGACTGGCTGGCAAGAATTGCAATTGGGGTGTAATAGTGACACATATGTCATGGGTTGGATGTTAACCTTGCTTCTTGAGAGGAGCCCCATACATTATGCTGTTACTCAGGCTGCCCAGAAAATAGGAGAGGACCTACTGCCATTATTCTACTAATAAGAATTACTATTAAATTAATTTCTAATGACTTGTAATTATACCCATATATTGGTGCCTCTCTCAATCCTTATCAGAGAAGCCTTTAAAAAAATAAGTAGCTGGTAACTAACAGAGACCCACAAGTGATAAACGCATGAGAAATGAAACACGGTGGAATATTCAGTGCCAAATAGAATGTCACATCCCCGCCTCCCATGACTCAGGGATCATTATGAAAGATATGAATGGAAAGAGTGTAAGAGGCAGAGGTCTCAGATGATTACAAATAACCAGTGTTTTCTGACACAAGAGTAGTAACACATACTCACTCATAGTAACTGTGCCAGCGTGCACAAAGCCCATGAATGACAAGGCAAAACTTTACAAGGAGAAGGGAGGTTGGCACAGTCCCATGCCTAGCCAAGAGATATTTACAGTTAATGGTTGCTGTGAGAAGAAGAGTCAGTTTTCTTAAGACTATGACCCCTAGTAGGTTGGCCATGCTCAAGTGGTTGAGCTACACAGACAAGGATACATAAATAGCACAAATTGGACTTGATAGATTTTATAGCAGAGGGCTAGAAGCAAAGTTGAGCAGGAAGAAAGGCAAAGATGGATCTGGGAGGGGTGGGGGTAATTATGAGTAAAATGTACTGCGTGAAAGCCTTGAAAAACTAATAAAAACTTTAAAAAAGAAAACTAAGTCCATGACGGTGATTCATACCTGTAATCCCAATACTCAGGAACACAGGAACAGGACTATTACTCAAGTCTGAGGGCAACCTGAGCTACAGAGAGAACCCTACAACAACTAGACAGCATAGCCAGATATTATCTTTAAAAAATAAATTTAGCCAGGCATTGGTGGTGCACACCTTTAATTCCAGCACTCGGGAGGCAGAGGCAGGCAGATCTCTGTGAGTTGGAGGCCAGCCTTGTCTACAGAGCAAGTTCCAGGACAGCCTCCAAAACAATACAGAGAAACCCTGTCTTGAAAACCCCAAAAAATAAATTTAAAGAGGTCTACTGATACTTATTATAAAAGGAATTTCAGGTTCATGAGTTAATGGTGGAAGATTTGTTTGGGCTAAGCCTTGTGAGAAATCTTTTCCTTTTTTAACCTATAATTAATTGCTTCTGAAATTAAGCAGTACATTTTGATTATACTTTGTAGAAGTAAAGAAGAACATAATACATCATAATCTATCAGTCACAAAGAAATTTGAAAATAAACTTTAAAAATGTTTTCATCCATCAATCAGATATAGTCACCTGATGCTACAAAGCAGAATCCATTAGTTGTCAAATTTTAAAAATTCATACAAATCATATTTTAAGAACTTTGAATTTCTTTTGTCAATTGGGAATATCACCCTGGACTTGTATTCATGGAGACTGTCAATATAATACAACATCTGAGTTATACATTGTCTATAGCCTTACCTCCATCCATCTCCATGGTGATTCACGCTCATCTAATTTAACCTGATTATGAATCTGTCTCTCTATCCATAGAATTATCTTGTTCATAATTTGTAGTTAATACATTCAAGTTATATCTCACTGCAGAAAGAGAATATAATTTGTCAAATAATGTAACAGATATTTTCCAAAGCATAAAACAATCATAAAATGGGCCTGACTGCCAATAAACAGAGAAGAACTGAAAATGCTTAATCTAATGTTCACTTATCATAGAGGTCCACTCAATTCAGTCAGAAGAAAATTGAATTTTTATAGCAGTGTTTGTTCTGGTAGAGGGAAGTGTGCCGCTAGAATAATTAAGGCAAAGGTTAATGAGCTGATATTTGTCTAGAAGTAAATTAGTTTTACACATTCACTACCAAGAAGAATTTAAATGCTTTATTGGTATGCAGAAGATGTAAATTCCATTATAAATTATGTCATTGATTTTTCCTGTATTAATTATTTCTATCCTGATTATTCCGTTAAAGTAGCAAAAGTGAGTGTAGCATACCGTTTCCATGTTTAAATTCTTTTCCTAATGTTAATGCTAGAAGGTCACTTGTTCAAGCTGTCAGATTCATACATATACAACTTGTACTGATGGCAAAATAGACCAGTGATGAGGACATAGCAGTTAGCTTTTCTCATATAGTAACAGGATAGAAACACAATCAAAATAAATCTCTACAAAACAATTCCAGTTTTGAAAAATCATCCCATACTATGACTAATATGTACTTGTGTCAAAATTATTTTTAGAAAATAGTATGGGATATTATGTCACAAATTAACAACTCACTGTTCTAGTCTTTGAGTATCCAGTACAACACAGTCATATCACAAAAAAACTTAGAGTGTAAGAACAACACCATTATCATCTGGAAGCTTCAGCAGTCAGGAACCCAGGCATGGACTACCTACAGCATGTTTTGTGATCTCTCACAGTGTTCTCACACAGGTGGGGACCAGTCTCTTCAGAGGCTTATGTAAATCCCCAGTGAATGATTGAACTTGGATACACTTCTAAGCACAAGGATTCATGTCAAGATTTGAAAGTGTTAGATCTTGGGGCTTAGGTTCATTGCAGGTTGGTGGTCAAACATCACTTTTGGATTTTGCCCCGTGACAACTGGTATTCAGTCAAGGAGGGATGTTGTCAATAAGGTCTGTTGGCTATGGTGACGATATAATCTTCAATTTCCTGCCATATGCATCACTCCCAGAGTAGCTGATGTTACTTTGTCCAGCAAAAGATGTGTTCAAGAGTATCTATTGTCTGAACTTAAGTTTTCAGTTATGTCACTCGATCTCTTAGGTGACTGTCATGTTATTCTGGTTAGAAATTATTAGCACTTAGCCCTCAAGTAGGAAAAGACGAACGAGGGGCAAGAATGCCAGGAAGAAATAGTGGACAATTCTGTTAGAACTCTCTGCCCTACCTTCATGGTTCAGTTCTACATGGTCACTAATTAATCAACAGTAGTGAAACAAATAATCTTTGTTTTCCTATACAATATCAAATACTACAAATTTATAATTAGATATCAAATCCAAACATAGAACTTTGTTTGTAAATGTGCCATTTAAAGGTCAGGGCATTTCTATTGTACTGACCCAGTACAGAAACAATGTCTAGATTGGTTACTTATGGAATATATTAGTTCAATAATATCTACTCCATCCATGTTGCTTTTTCTAATGTAACAACATTAAAATTCATAAATGGAATTGATAAAACTACTAAATAAAGGAATTATAAGATAGAATTCATTATTTCAGTAAGTAAAATGCTCTTGGTAGGACAGGCATGGATACATCTATAATATAATTCAAATGTAGAGGGATTGTGTAAAGGCTGTTTTTGTCTGTCACCTTGACACACGCTAGAATTATCTGAAAGAAAGGAGCCTCAGTTGAGAAAACGACTCCATGAGATCCAACTGTAAGGAATTTTCTCAATTAGTGATTAATGTGGGAGGGCCCAGTTCATGGTGGGAGGTGCCATCCCTGGACTTGGGGGAAGGGGTGAATGGGCCATGTGTTTTATAAAAAAGCTGGCTGAGCAAGCCAGTAAACAGCTCCCCTCCATGACTCAGCTTCTGCCTTCAGGATCCTGCCCTGCTTGAGTTCCTATTGGCCAAAGAAAGAGGATATATTTTCTAAATAATTTTTTATTTTTAAAACAATCTTATTTTACATATCAATCCTCCCATTCCCTCATCCTCCCATCCTCCCACGCTTCCCACCAACTCCCTAGCACCCCTGCCTGCTCCCCAAAGATAGTGAGGCCCTCCACGGTGGGGGGGGCATCAAAGTCCATCACATCATTTGGGAGAGGGCCTAGGCCCTCTTTCGTGTATCTGGGATGCAATATTCGATAGGGAATGTGTTCCCAAAGTCCACTCGTGCACTAGAGATAAACACTGGCTCCACTGTTAGAGGTCCCATAGACTACCCAGGCCTCCCAGCTGGCACCCACATTCAGAGGGCATGGTTCGGTCCAATGCTGGATCCCCATGATGCATTTATTCACTCATCCTTAGTGGTGAGGCAGCTCTCCCCAGAGTTTCAGATGACTAGTGAAGGAACCAACACTGCACAAAGCACAGTAGAAAACAGAGAACTGGATGGGAGTAAATTAAATAAGTGAATTAAAATTAAATATCTACTTTATTCTTTTTAATCAAAATGACCTAAATGGCTCTTGTCCTTTATGAAGACAAGTTAATTTGGCTAGCATTTTAATAATTGTTTTAAATCATTTTAATGAGTTTTACTTTTAATAATTGTTAATAAATTAACGTAGGTGGTATGACATTCAAAGTCTATTAATATAACCGATGTGATGAGCCTGCTATAAAAAATGTGTGTGATGCTTTAGGAATTGCAACTGGAAGAAATATCCTAAAGTTCATAAAAGTATTATTGTTTATCAGTAGATATTTGAATAAATTGTTGTATTTTTCGAGTTTCACTCTTAAAAATAAATGTTGCTTATATTTTTGGGTGTGAGGCTATCCTTAAGACATCATGTACATCTTTAATCCAAGGACTTGGGAGGCAGAAGCAGGAGGATCTCTGAGTTCAAATTCAGCCTGATCTACAGAATGAGTTCCAGGATAGCCAGAGCTACACAGAGAAACCTTGTCTCAAAAAAATAAATAATGATAATTACAATAATAATAGCATTGTACTAAAATAGATAGGAAGGAAGAAAAAAGGAAATGAGCATCTTTTATTATTAACCCTGCAGACCTCCTCCTGTAAGTGAGCTCGCCGCCAGAGGGACTGTAGTTGGTGTCATTTCCGCTGCTGCTATCAATCAGAGTATCGTGTACTCCATTGTGGCAGGAAATGAGGAAGGTATGTAGAGAATTTTGCCTATACTTTCTCCAAAAACCAATAAATGTAGAATCAGGTGAAATTTTAATTAAACTCTTATTTTTCTATTTAATGTAATTGTCTGTCTTCAGTGTCATTGATGACTTGATTAATAGTCTAGGTGCATTAGCTAAAGTCATTGTGTGCCCTGATTAATGCTTAACATTCAATTATAGAGGCTTCTACCCTCCCTTCCTTAGTGATATTTTGTGACATTTCTTCAAAATGAATGAATTGTTCTTTCCACTACAAGAGATAATTATTTTCTAGGCTCATCTCTCCCCTCTGTGTGTACCACAAGCCTGACCTCACATCATAGTTATCCTGAAGAAGCTTTGGGATCTTATGTAAATATAAATACCAAAAAAGACAAGTCAGTGCTAACAGACACCTGTGTCATATAATACAATATCCCAAACAGTCAAATCGGTTAAGAGGAATTTTGAGTTTTGTCTTTTAATCACTTTCAGAATGGTAGTCATTTCCTGGATTCTAGGAACAATATCTTCTCCCATGCATGCTCCCACCATCTTCCCACTAGGAACAATATCATCTTCCCCTGAAATGACTCTGCATTTCAGCTGTTGTCTGCTGTTTCCTCTTCTGAGGCACTGAGCAGACTACGATATTGTGGGTGGCTGAGAATTTGTAGTAACTATGTAATAAATTAGTTTATTCTGAGTGTTTAATCAAAGAATGAACATGGATGTCCTTTACACCATCGTAAAGAACAGTCCTGAGACTGTCTGAAGCATTCAGGTGACCCACCTGGCACTGGAGTGGACTGCCCCCTGCCGGAAGCACTCACTTGACCCCCTGTTTATCGATCCTCTGTGTTATCTGCTGCTGCACTGCACCTCCTCCATAGGGGCAATGGAACCTTCTTTCCCCACTGCTTCCACATCTGAAAAGGCTGTAACTTCTCAACCTGTTCTGATGTTCCGCCCTGCCCTTTTCCTTGAAGACAGCTGCAAGCTCTATTTATCCATAGCTTTCACCACAGGGACTGTTCCATGCCCTTTAGCCATTTACTCATTCAGCAAGTACTGAGTGTCAGTTGTGTGATAACGGCCCTTCCAGTGACTAGGCATGTAGAGAAAAGCAAACAAGTCTGTTCCTCATGGTCTCAGATTAAAGACTCCAGCAGTTGTTAAGCATGCGTGTAGAGTATTTCCAACGATGGTGATCTCTACAGGGAAAGGGTGATGGAGGGTGTGGGGAAGGAAGCTGTGGAATACTACAGAGATAGAGAGTGATCCCTTCTTTCCTTTTAAAGTACGTACATAGTGATTTAAAAAAAAAAGAGACCAAGGGAAAGTCTTTTAAAAATGCTCATAATAAGAAAACATGGTATAAAAGTAACCTACAAGCTAAATTACAAACATGACCTTCGGTGTTCATAACCAAGCACCAAATCTGCAGGATTGGATGTGTGTGGTGAAGAGTAAAAACAGAAAATGGCTAGTTAAGCAAAATATGATGGGATTCTGAAAGAGAAAGACCCTGCTAGGGCAGGACCAACATCACGGTGACAGGAGGATGGCCAACTGAGCACCTGCAACCAGCAGACTCCCTAATTAACATGAAACCAAAGCTACAGTCTTCATTCACCATTCAGGGATCACACTTTGATAATCCCAACAGCAGAAATATGTTTCCAAGTACTGGAGTTACATCACTTTTAAGCTTAACAGTTCTTTTGGATATTTCTAGTGCTGTTGAAACCATGATATCTTTTAAGGAGATTTTTTCCTTGCCTTGTGAAGAAACTAATGAGTTGTATCTTAAATTCCAGATAAGTTTGGAATCAACAATGTCACAGGTGTCATCTATGTGAACGCACCATTGGATTACGAGACAAGGACCAGCTATGTGCTTCGGGTGCAGGCTGATTCTCTGGAAGTAGTCCTTGCCAATCTCCGAGTTCCTTCAAAAAGTAAGTTACATTGCTTAAGAGAATGACTATATTTTGTAGTATTTTTGCTGGTCTGGTAATCAGTTACATATGCATAAAATGAAGCTATCCCTTCAGGCTGTAGGGATCTCTTAAGTGCTAGAGAGGGATAGCCATTCATCTTAGCGGATGGCAAGGCAACTCTAGGGATGAGGTTATAACATACTATTTACAGATAATGTGTAAAATACTGTTATGATAACTTCACTTGCATAAGTTGATCAGCAAACTTTTTAATCCCCCTTGAAAGCCAGGTTATGTGGCTAATACTGCCTATGTGAGAATAAAGGGGAAAGCATTTAAAATAGTGACTAGTGGGCTGGCAAGATGACTCAGTGAGTGATGGTGCTTGTCATGAAGCCTAGACATGAGTTTGGACCCAGCATCCTCACGGTGGAAGAAAAGAATCAGCTTCTGTTTGCTGTCCTCTGACCACCACATACATAGGGGCATGCATATGCCCAACGTACACACACAGAGAGACAGACAGATAGGCAAAGAGAAAACAAAGTAAAAGTATAGTATTTTAATATTTTTAATTGGTGATTAATAGTAAATATTAAATTACTCATAGCATCCCATTTAATTTCCATACATTTCTTTATGATGATAAAATGATCATCCTTAGTTTCAGTACTGTTATGAATTGACAGTCAGTACATAAAAGACATGATGTAGCTGCAACAGGGATGCTAAAGTATTTCTTTGAGCTATCAGAGCAACATGACTCCCGTGGAAAAGCAAAGAGCAGTCAGTTTGTAGAAAGGACTGACACCGGGTCTAGGAGATATTACCAGTATTGCAATAGATCCATGTGTGTAACATTCTTTCACACTAAGGCAAATGAGCCTTTAATAATCAGTGTTCCTGTCTAAGACCTAAATGGTTACAACCAAAACGCCTTTCACCTAACTTCATACAACAGAGGCACCTGCAGAAAGAAAAGTACAATCAAGCATCTAAATCAGTAGTTCTCAACCTGTGGTCATGACCCCATTGAGGGGGTGGAAAGACCCTTTCACAGGGCTGGCATATTGTATATGCTGCATATCAGATATTTACATTACAATCCATAACAGTAACAAAATTACAGTTATGAAGTAGCAACGAATCTTATGGTTGGGTGTCACCACAACATGAGGAACTGTATTAAAGGGTCACAGCATTAGGAAGATTGAAAACCACTGGCCTAAAACATGATCCTTTTGGGATCATCTTTCAGCATCATATTAGAGCCTGACATTCATCATCTTCTCTAGAAAGGGAAGATTCGGGAATGTGGATATCAGAAAGAGAGCCAGGCATTGAAGAAGGGCCCAGGGTAGAGAAAAAATGTGGGAGATGTGATATACAAGCACAATGACTCAGTAAGGGACTGTCACTAGAGACTGTTACTTACCATAAACTTTACCTAACAAACTTGGGTGGCTGTTGTTTGTAAAGATACATCAAAGTCATTTAGAAATCCAGGTAAATAATACTTTTTTGATAAATTTTATTTAAATTAGAAACAATCTTATTTTACATATCAATCCCAGTTCCTTCTTCTTCCCATCCTCCCATGCCCTCCACGGAACCCCCCATGAGGGATCATCAAGTCATTTGGGGCAGGGCCTAGGCCCTCCCTCATGTATCTAGGCTAAGAGGAACTCCATAAATTAAAAGAATCAAACTGTCCTCAGAAACAATATGTCACTGGTATATTTAAACTGTTTCAAAGGAGTAGACCATGTCTCCCAGGTTTTAAACACTTATAATTTTTGTAGATTTTTATGTGTGTTGGTGCTTCCCTGCATTTATGTGTGTGGCAACATGTGCATGGAGGCCCAAGAAGGCGTCACATCCTCTAGAACTGGTGGTTGTGAGTCACAGTTTGGGAGCTGGAAGCTGGAACTAGAACCTCTACAAGAGCAGCAAATGCTCTTAACCACTGAGCCATCTCTCGGGCCCCTTTGTTAAAGTCCTTAAGATGGGGCCGGTAAGGTGGCTTAGCAGGAAAGGGCAATTGCTGTCAATCCCCAGGGCCCCATGGTTGAGGAAAAGATTCCTGCAAGTTGTCTTCTGACTCTCCCTTACCCATGATAAACCCACACATGCACACACACAATGAATTAAATGAATGTTATTTAAAAAAACTATAAATTGCAAGCATTTACACTTTTAGAGAAGATAGAAGATTCCATAGACTGTGAACTTATCTGGCTAAACAAATAGATAAAATGTTATAAAAGAGCGATATTATATAACTTGTTAGCGAAAACAGACAAAATGTTCTGAAAGAAAGGTGTTATATAACTTGTAAGCACAACAAATAGGAGAGGTTAATTGAAAATTGTAACTGTCACTTTTCATTGAAACAAATATCTTTGAAAGACAAATTTTACTACATGCTAAGGGTATAGGACCTTACATTTCCAAAGGACTATCTATGATTTTTCAGAAAAGAAAGATGATAAGTTATCTATAGAAATATATTATAAGTAATTCCCTTCACTATAGTATAAACAAAGATGAAAGGCAATAGAATTTTACACAACGCCCAGGTAAATGCCTGAATGTGCCCTGGTGGGCATGCAGTGATGAGATCAGCTAAAAAAATACAAACTCATGAGTTACCTTTCAGAAATGCATGAAGCCTAAGAGGCACACATTCATTTGTTCACTGCCTGATTATTTGAATATTGTTATTAACATTTCATGACTAACCTTTGCCTTCTGCTCAAAATGAAGACACACACATTTCCAACATTTTTCCATCTATTAATAACTGTTAATAGCCTGTAATCAATCCCTAGTCCATTAGCTATGCAAATAAGTCGACCATTATGTAAATTGAGGTCAATTAATTAATTGTCTAAAGGTTTTAATTTGCTACAAAATTAGCTACCCTATGGATTTTAACTCTATTGCACATCATATTAATAAAAGTAAGAATCTAATTCACTGAAGTTATACTTTATTGCAACTTCTTCATCAAATGATTGTTCATAAAACAATTTTCAAATTGAATTTTACAACAGTTCTATAAATAAATTTAGCATGCAGATGAAAATTAAAATAGGCAGTTATAGAGTTCATGTCGTAGATTCAACGTTGGAGCTTAAGACAGTATGGACTCGTGTTTTTCAGTGCTAGGATTAAAGGGACATATTTCCATATCTAACTCTTATCACACCATCACAGTGAAATATTAACATGTGTAACACTCTCTTCTACAAGTCCAGCTACCTCCCATCATATCACTCTAAGCCTCATCATTCTAATACATCTTTAAGTATCTCCATATTATCTCTTAAAGATAATGCCAACCCAAAACAACTCTGACCTCAAAGCAAATAAATGATATTTTGTTCTTGAAACAAAAATGAGTGACCATGACACAAAATATAAATTCAAGTTGTCTAGGAAGATACATTCTATTGTGGCAGTGATTACATGCTTTTCTGTTATAGAATAAAGAGATTTATAAATTAAGGTATTAACAAACACAAATAATAATGGATATTATTTTCGAGCCACAGTACGGGAGCAGGGGAACTGCAACAAGACCCTTTACAATACCAGTAAGTGCTTCTAACCACTGAGCCATCGCTTCCTTCAACCCCTTCGTTCAGGTTTTTAAAGTGCTGAAGCTGGGGCCAGTAAGGTGGCTTATCAGGAAAGGGCAATTGCTATCAATCCCCAGATGTCCATGGTTAAGGAAAAGATTCCTACAAATAATGGAAATTACCCACAGGAAGATTATAGCAAACTGTGTCAGTCTCTGCTATGGGTCTTGGATGCTACTTAATGTCATAATTATCTCTTGGAAGATAGTGATCTCCTAAAACATTCTAAGGTTTCACAGGATCCAAATGATATTAGGTCAGACACAGTAGTGTGCAGGAATGGCTTTCAAAGGAACTAAAATCAACGCAAGATAATCTGGCTCTGGTTATGCAGTATTTTAGTCACAAAATTCTAATAAGTCATGTAAAGTTTCACCATGTGTATAGAAGATTCTGCAAGCTTCAGTTCACAGCAAACCCTCTTTGATCTTAATTAGAACTCCACTGCTACCTCTCCCTCAATCAACAAAATGTAATGCACCGTCCTATCTCTTCTGGTTAGTTTTCGTTTGAAGCATATTTTTCTAGATATTAAAATATCTACACTTGTGCTTTTTGGTTTTCTTTGAATATCTTTTTCCATTGTTTTACCTTACAGTATTTTCTGCCCTTGATGGTGAGCTGTATTTCTTGGATGCAGCAGAAAGATGGGAGCTACTTTCTAAAATAATCTGCCAGCCTGTGTTTTTAATTGGGAAATTGAAACTATTAATATTGTGTTATTAATGAGCAATGTTTTTTCCTATTTGATTAACTGTTCTGGATTATTTATTCCTTGTGTCCTCTTGGAAGTAGTTAAACTCTTCAGTCTGAAGTTTTCTTTCTAGATCAGTGGTTCTCAACCTTTGTAATGCTGCAACCCTTTAATACAGTTATTCATGTTGTGGTGAGCCCCAACCATAAAATTATTTTCATTGCTTCTTTATAACTACAATTTTGCTACTGTTATGAATTGTAATTAAATAGCTGTTATCCCTGACGGTCTTAGGCAATCTACAGGTAGAGAGCCAATGTTCTAGTGCCTTCTTAGATTTGGATTGGTGAACAGAATTTGCTGATTTTTTTGTTGTTTTGTTTTTGTGGCTTGTTGTTGTTTTCCTCCATCAATTATGATTTATAGTTTTGCTGGATATAGTAGTCTGTGTTGGTATCAGTGATCCCTTCAAGCTTGTTGAACATCTGTTCAAGCCTTTCTGGGTTTTAGATTCTCCATTAAAAAGTCATATACTATTCTAAAGGGTCTATTTTATATGTGACTTGGTCATTTTCCCTTGAAACTTTTAATATCCCTTGTCTGTTCTGTATCTCTAGTGTTTTGATTATTATATATCATGGGGAGTTTATTTTCTGAGCCTGACTATTTGTGTTCTGTAT